ATACCGGATATAAATTATACAAAAACAAAAAGTAGATCAGCATCTGCAGAATTTTTTGTATCATTTAGTCAAGATATAAATTATAATGAATACGATGATAATACAGACAATGATATTGATGATGATATTGATGATGAAATTGTTTGTAGTATTCATCATGAAGATCATCAACCGACAACACGTTCGAATAATGTAACACATTATGCAGATGTACTGGCAGGTAAATTATTAGAATCTGCTGTTGATTCAAGTATAAAAGAAATAAGCAAATTATCAAAAGAAATTCCAGTTCCCAACAATAATACGATGTTAAATACAACAGCAGGTTATATAAGTGATGCTCATCAAGACTCATTTATTTTATCAGCGGATCCCATAACAATGGAAGAAAATATTATATTGAATGTATCGAAAACTGATACAATCATGCCGACGAGTGATGACAAATCGTTTTTGACAGAAATCAAGCCAAGTGAAAGACAATTGTCATTAGATACAATTTATAACAATGATTCGATTAGTCAATCAAGAATTCAACCTACCCGTTCACCAAATGCAAAAAATTAACTAAAACTTTGTATAGAAATTGTTTTATATTTAATAATTTTTGAAAAATCAAATAAAAAACAAGCCTATAGCTAATTAGGAATCATAGTCTTCATATAAAAGCAGTTAACATAATAGTAAAATGTTTAATATATATGTTTTTAACCATTTCGTTTTCTATGAATCATCATATTATCGATAAAAATGGAATCAATTACATGAAAACAACCTTCAGCAACAAAAAAAAAAGAAAATTGCGTGTTCAATTATTAAAATTTTTTTCTTGCTATTAGTTTATTAGGCAAAAGTACAGGAAAAAACACAATTTTTTAATGTGTTAGTCGTATAGGAAAAAAACAATCGAATAACACAGATATTGTGTACTTAATAAATCTATCATCTAGATTATTTTACATTGTACGTCACAATATATATATTGAAGATCGTTTGAAATTATTGTCACTGGTTATTCAATCGAATACTATTTCTTGAATAGAATCATACAAGTAAGAATTTCATTTGATAAAAAACGAGGTTTAAATAATATAATATATACGCATTTTATTAAAAGCGGAAACTAAATAAAATCTTGTTTTGCCTTAAGAGTCTATTATTTTATTTAGTAGAATATATACCATTTGACATTAAATATAGAACAAAACATTTCTAAATTATGAAATAGGTATTCTATTAATTAAAGATGAAAATATTTTGATTATATTATATCAGAAATGCAGGTAGATTTTTTTTCTGCATGTTTTTAGACAAACTAATGAATGAGAATCAACAACAAACTGAAATAATACAGGAAAATAAAGACTCGACAATAACTGTAAGTTTTGTGTAATTAGAAGATTGAGTCACCTCACATAAAATATTGTTTAATGTAAGATACCAATGGTATAGAACCATATTTGGTCACCTGGATTGTTTTGTATTACATAGAACTGCTTTTGTTACTAGACAGAAAAATAACATGTCTAATTAGTAGATTAAATTTCTTATTCCATTTTGATAATTGAATGAGGAAGAAGTAAAAAACGTTGTAAGACAAGTAAAAGTTTTTTTTTCTTTCTTTTTATAGTTATCTGAATGTTTAATAAGACATAATGACAAACAAACATTAGATCAACTTTCAACATTAGGTGAAATTTCTATGCGATTGACAAATTCATATATATTTGAAGAAACTATTCGTCGAACAATGTCAACTGAAGTAAAATCGACTGTCGTTTCTCCTTCGTCGGTACCATTACGAACTACAGTTTTTCAACTTGAACCACCAATATTCAAAAATAATAATTATATTCTATCTCAATCAAATATCGATGATACACTCAATGATGAAGATCAATCAAAAATATTTCAATACAGGGTAATTAATAATTTTTATTAGAATATTTTTTTTATTTTATATGACATTAGATGAACAATTGTCAACAAAATACAAAAAATGAACGAATAAAATCATCAAAAAAATCTCGAAATATAGAACATGAAATAGAAGTTTTAAAAGATATTGATCAACCACTATTAAATTCATCGTTAGAAATTTATGAATATAAAAGTCCATTTTCTAAAGAATATGATCAAGCTATTTCAATTCAAGCACAAATGCAAACAAATAATAATATGAATGAATGGAGTCTTAAAGATTTTTATCGTGATGTTAAAACAAATTTTGAACCAGAAACAAATACAAAAGCAGTTTTTGAAAGATGTCTCAAATTAGCAAGGTAATACAACATTCCTAAATCGAAACCTAAACACTTTCATAATTACTTACCTTGTTAAACATTTCTATAGATGAAATTCAAGAACAAAACCTATTAGAGTAATGTTTACATTAACATATTACTAAATTATCTTTACAAGATTCTATAAACAACAAATGTCACATTTTTTTCTTTCCTTGAAGATGTGCATTTCATTTCTGCTTTTAAGTGTAATATTGATAAGAGATTAATAATCGTCAGCTGTTTTATATACATATATAAATCATTACTAAATTTTTATTGAACTAAATGTATGATATTATTTTTTTAAGATTACAAGCTATTACAGTTAAATGGGAACAACGTCGTCGTCATAATGAAACTATATATAATCGTTCGATAAAATCTGCTGCATTAGATATGTTAAATACAAATGGAAATATTTTAGCTAAAATTAATAATAATGACAAAGATATAAATGAATTGAAACGTGAATTACGTTGCAGTGAATGTAAACGTTTCGCATGTGTTGGTAATTGTACAATTAGTCAAGAATATCCTCAATATAAACGTTTTAGTCCAGTTTTATCGTTATCAAATACACGTGAACAAATTCATAGTAAATTTAATACGCGTTTACAACGATCAACTATTGATTTACGTCCTCGTACAACACAACATATAATACGTGAAACAAAATTGAAATCTGAACAAACAAAATTAAATCCTGTCGTTGTTGTACCTTTATTTAATGATGAATTACAAATGAAACATACACAAAAAAAGTTTACTAATAGTTTTCTACCTGGAAAATTAATTCGTTCACAACGTCGAGAAACAGTAGCCATTATTTCAACAAATAAAGTTTTAAGCTAATTTTATTTTTTTTTTTTATTAATAAATAAATTTTTTATCAAACGAAATTATAGAATCTCCTGGTTATGCCAGCTTTGTTATTATTGTTTTATCTTTCTTCGGGTTTTTCTTTCTCATCCACTTGGGATATACAGATTAGATCCCATATATATACAAATCTAATTGAGAGTAGAAACGCGATCGCCTTTGTTCCATTCGTCGACTATCGTATATAAAGTGTCTCGCGATAAGAACAACACTTTTTTTTTTCCTATCTGACTTTTTCTTTGCCATTATGTCACTCATTGACAGATAGCTAATGAGCACATACAGATATATCAAATGACGGCTATGTGTTTGTAGTCAAAAGGTTGAATCGATTGTCATTGTGCACGCGCAAATTTGAGTGACACAAATTAGTGTACAACTGTTCGAAGAAAACGAATACCATATATATATATACATAAGCACAACTGTTCAAGTAGATCTGATATTGTGGGTAAATTCTCTTAATCATACTCGGATTATATGTAGACAAATATGTTCTAATAGTCGTTCTTTTCATTTATCTTGTGTTAAAATAATATTTCTTTTCCGTCTGAGAAGAATATATATAAGTCATTTGTCCTATTGATCTCTCATCGAAATATGCGACATAACAACAATTATGAAAGCAAACTAATATGTAATATAATCTTTGCCTTCATATATGTGCTTATTTGTCCATAGAAGAAAGAAAGCCAGGGACAAACTAATAACAACGTCAGGTACCTTTTCTTTTTCTTTTTTTTCCGTTCTTAAAAGAGATGCTTTTATAGAAATAAATATGGATTTATCATTTGATCATCAATGTTTATATACACTAGCTTAAATATAAAGACTGACTTTCAAAAGATCGAATTGCATAAGCATAAGTGCCACTAGGAATAGTGTAAGCAGCATACAACATTATGCATGCTGGTGTGCATTTAGCCTCAAGGCTATTGGCACTGCTCTCCTTTCTTTTACTGTACAATGAGATAACAAGAAGAGAAGACGAAGAAGAAGAAGAAGAATTCACGATGGCATGAAGGATAAGACAGACTGAAATATGCCTTTAAGAAGATCTGTAATCGATAGGATGGATAATGAGAGCAACACTTGCTCTCTTTCATTCTTTGTTGCTATTGCAATTGAGAGCTTAGTTCTTTATCTGACAATAGTTGATTGTGTATGTGGAAGAAAATGTTTATCAGTCGACATGTTAAGTAAACAGTACAGTTCGATCTTACTTTATATGAAATATATATAGGGATAAAAATTTGGCAGAATTTTCCCTTTTTCTTACTTTTGGTTTCCAGGACGTGACAACTGTCAATTTGAAGAAGAAGAAGAGAAGAAAAAAGAAAAGAGTGGAAGTAACAGCTGTGATAGTAGTACTCCACTTATTATAATACAGAGATGATGATAAAATGTAAGTCAGAATGAATGAATGAATGAAAAAATATTTGATGCTATATAAAAATGGATAAAAACAATAATAATGATAATTAATATTAAAAAACTATAATTTGAATAAATCAAGTTAATTATCAAGTATATATATACAAATGAGCTTAGACTTTTGTCTGACTTTTAGGTAAGACAATCATGGCACATTGATCGTTAAATGATGTTCTTTCTCTCATCTTCTCTTCTTCTTTTCTTGCCTTCTCTTTTTCGGTCAAATGACAACAATCATCATCAATGTTCTCTTTTCTCTATATATAGTATAAAAAGCTATGAAAGAAATAACCTCTATGATTATTGTAAGCACTGTACCATCGCGCTTTCCTTCTTCTTCACTTTCATTCGTGTGTACGATCGCTTATTGTATATCCAGTTGACAACAACAGCAGTTGTTGCTGCCACCGTCGTCGTCGCCGCCGCCGCCGTCATAATTCTCGAGCCGATGATAATAGGTAATTAAGTGCTATTGTTTTTATACCATTATTCATCTTGCTTACACACTCGCTTATTGATATTATTGTTCTTTTATCTAATGTTTACAGCAATAATGTATTTTAAAGATACGAATTCTTTTTTTTTGCTGTTAAAGACAAGATACAGGTAGAATATATTATGTTCTTAATCTTATAGATTTGATAATAAATATGATTATCATTATTTAATCCTAATATATTTTCTTATCGTTCGATTTGAGTTGACCACTTAACGGAAATAATAGTTTTTTTTCATTTTTGAATATTCCATCTCTATGATATTTTATGCTCTGCTAATGATGCTTTTTATGTTATATATATATAGTAGATATATATATGTATGTATTTCTTTTATGTATTCTTTGCATGAATGATAACAGGTCTGGCGGTGAATCTTATCGTTTTTTCATTATCATCATTGTCAAAGATGATAATGGAAATAGGAATATTTTTTTGGGTGAAAGTGATATTGTCTAATCAACAAATCTTATATATTATCTTTTATCGACCTCGCCATCATCTTCTTCTTCTTCTATCATTAGACTACAATAGTATTATTAGTTAGTTAGTCAGTCAGTCGATTTTTACTTGTACGCGCGTCTTAATGCGTATCAATAAGCTTAGAGTGAAAGAAGGACAAGCAAACAGACGTTGCACAGATTATATTACAACAAATACTTAAAAAGAAAAAGAGACAGAAAAAGGATAAAAGATATTCGTAAGAATAACAACACAGCAGTATTATTGTTTATGCTGATAGTAATGGTTTTCTTTTTCTTCGATATGATAACTATAGTTTTACTAAAATCAAACTTGATAACGATTAATATTTTTTTCATATGTAAGTATATATCGTTATATTATCGAATAAATATTATGATCTTGTGAGCTAGTACTATTGACGATAAATAAATGAATGAGTAGTAGCATGTATTGATGCAATCACTTTCATTTCTTCGGCACGTACTACACCGATTAACAATGAGAAGAAAGAGAATGAAAACTAAGAATGAGACAACATCAAATATATATATACATGCACACTTCTCGCTTTCATAACAGTACAAGAGAATTCATAGTTCTATATATCTATATATCTATAGTTAATGAATAGGACGTGTAAGGACTATCAAAATTATCGCAAACATATATATATATATAAATCTAGTGATAGATTTACTATATTACACAAAGTCTTTTATTGTAATAGGATCATATATGTATATGATAAAATGCAATGTTGTTTAATGAATGCAGATGTGAGTTCGTGCATGTCTCCAAGTTATTATTGAAATTAGAAATGCAAGAGTAAAAGTGATTGAATATCTTCTAAGTATCATAGATTCATAAATTCTATCGTTGATTTTTTTGTTGTATTTTTTTGTCTTATAATTAATCTTCTATGTGCTTATTGACAGACAATAAAGTACAACTTGTATCACGGTAATCTCATATTAGATTAATTGACTAGTATGATCATTTTTCTATATAGAATTCTTGACATCTATCGAGAATCGATATAAGATAAACGATACTCTATATCTATAGTATATATATATATACATATATGTGAGTCCATCTTGTCCTTAGTTGTCAACAATACACACCGTTATATACCATACTTATATTATCTTTCGAAAAAAGAAAAAAAAGAAAAAGTCATTTTATGATAAAGACAAAGCTATGTCATCTTTCTTGTCGTTATTCAATAATATACATCATTGATCATGATGGCATAGTTGAAATATATTGTAGAGATAGATGATGATTCTTATATATATATATATCCATCATATACTTCTCTCTTCTATTATATATATAAAGGAGGAGATTTATACTGTATATATCGATATTCGATAAAAATTTTCAATCTTTTTTTTCTTTTTTCTTTTTTTTTGTTATATTATTATTACCTATTCATAACGATTAATGTCTTGATCATGTTAACAGAACTTTTAGCCTTCTCAATATTGTTATTCTTGCAATAAATGTATGTAATAAGGCAACATCAACAATATTTTACAATTATTGCGACTATATACTTCTGTTATTTGGCTTCGCATTGTATCGTCATACTGTATACATTAAGACTTTGTAATATTACAAAAAAAGGTCAATAGAGTTTTATTACTTATACAATAAATGCTAATTTATTTCTGATTTGAACTCATATTGAGACAGGTAAATGCTTCCTCTTTTATTTCTCCACACATATATATATATATATATATATGTAAATGATGACATCAACAATAGTTGTTTCTTCTTCTTCTTCATTTTTACATATAATTTGTTGTTGAAAGAAAAATTCATCGGTAGTAATTCACTCATCAACACATCTTTGTTTTTTCTTTTTGTTTGGTATTTTTTCTCTCTGTCCTTCCTCATTTTCTATTCTATTGTCCTTGTGTAAATTGATGAAAGTATTCATATCATCACTAGTTACAATCAACGAAGCAAAGAAATAAATTAGCACCATATCATTAAAAGTAATAGTTTTGACAACTATGTTAAGAAAAGAATTAAGATACCGTATTATATATAAAAAAGAAAAACGAAATTATTTTAATAATATTCTTCATCATTTTTTCTTTTCTTTTTTTTTTCGTTTCGAAAAACTGCTTTAAGCTAATGTCTATAATCGTTTAGTTCTTTCTTTTCTCAATCATTCATGTACACACACCCATTCGCCTTGAAATCAGTGTGTATAACGAGTTGTTCCATTCATTCTTCTAACAAGAAACAATGCATTCATACCACCTCCGGCATATATATATATATACGATGCTGTTGTACAAGCCTACCGTTCTTGCTTGTTTGCTCTATTGTCATTGAAAATCTTTTCAAGCGAATGTATACTGTCACATCTACTTATGTGTCCATAATTTTCTATCGTTTATTTCTTAAGCTTTTTCATAGGACTGCTCACACAATTATTTGTGTTTGCTCAGAACTTTTTGTAAATAGGTAAAATAATTATGAATTTCGATGTATTTTATATTGGCACCATTTTTAATTTAACAAATTTCTTTTTGTGTTCGAAGAAGAAGAAAAAAAGAATATATATCATGTGATATGAACAAACTAGAAAACAATAGAAGTCTAACACAGCCTGTCTATCTTTCAGTCAATGAATAATGACAATAGATAGGGAAGAAAAAAAAAACCTGTGAGTTTTTTCTTTTTTTTGCATGTTCGTATTATTGAAAAAAAAGAGACAATAACAAAAGAAAAGAGATGCGCGCGCTCGCTAGTTATTATAGTAAAGAATAGGTGAACTGTTGTAGTGACAAGTTGCTCAACAATTGACATATTCTCATCCAAATTTATATTCTTGAATCTGTCACGCATTAACACTTATCACTCAAGAGTAAGAACAAAAAAGAAATGAAATCAAATGATGGTAGCGGTAAAGGCCGATTAAATTGACTGTTACATATATATATATAACATTAATGATGATGGTATGATCTTTTTCTTCTATTCCGGTTGTCTTTTTAGTAAAAATTACTTTTCTCTCTCTCTGTCTCTCTCTCTCTCTTCATGACACCTGATGACGAGAAAGATTTAATAATGCCATTGCTCGTCAAATCTCGACGAATAGAGGATCGTTGTCTTTCTATTGTTTATGTTGTCCTAAGTCGGAAAAGAAGAAGAAGAAGAAGAAGAAAAAGAGAAAGAGCACACAAAAAGATGAAGAAGAATAAGGTATCTTTCTTCAACTTAAGAAAGATTGCGAAATACATTTGTCAGACAAGTGAATATGTGTGTGTGTGTGTTTAAGTAATATAGTTTATCAATCTTTTCTTTTTGCGTGTCTTATGTAGAAAATCAGTTTGTATGTTCATATTAACGATGATGTGCATTGTGTTGAGTATATATGTATATAGATACACTGCGACGCAATTGAATATAGATGATGATGTGAAATCGAGCGTAAAAAAGGAAAGAAAGAAAGAGAAGAGTGTATTGTGTCATACGGGAGGTAGAGTACAAGTTCTGCTTGCCGTTGATATATTGCATGCACAGTGTATACTTCGAACAATAGATTCTTAATAGAAAAGAAAGAAAGAAATGAGAGAAAAGAAGGAAGAACGACTACTCACACACACACATAATCATGGTACCTAGGTGTATCCACCATTGCATTTATACGCATAATTACTATTGATGGTAATAATTTTTTTCTTTGTGCACTCCTGTTGACGTTCGATTTGTCAAAGTAAAAAACAACAACAATAATGAAGTACAAAAAAATAGAAGGAAAAAAAATATAGTGGCAAAATTATTTCTCAACAACAATCACAAACGAATAGTCATACACATATACATTCATTCATTCATTCACTCATTCATTCATCTATTCATTTTATTAAACAGAAGGTAAATACAAAAGATATTGTATAACAGGGTAAGTAAGCATAGTCTTGTCAATATATATATCGAGAAATTTATTCATATATAATAGTATGTTTTGTAATTGTTGCTTATGCTTAACTCTCTTTTCTTATTCTCTAAATGTGTATGTTTGAACATATTATTAGTTGCAGAAAAGAGGGAACAAATTTCATCAATCATATATATAAGAGAATGAGAAACAGTCGTTTATAACTATTTATAGTACTAAAAAACAATAGAGTATGCTGCTTATGTGTGTGTGACAATATCAATTATGTAAACGAAACTAAAATCCGGGTATGGTGCAATAAGAAAAGAAGAGTGTCATGTATGAAGCAAACATTCTCTATTTAACGAAGAGACGAGAAAAAAAAGGAGAGAAAATGTGATGGTTCCCCCCTATCCGTCTTAGACGGCTTTCACACTTCATTAGCTAGCATTCTTTCTCCTTGTCACACTCTCAACTAGACAAAAAGGTAACGAGGAAAAGAAAAAGATATTTCTCTTCATTAAATATCTAAAAGATACGATTTATATAAATATCCTTACCTATATACATATAATTTATTCTATATGATCGTTTACATTTACTCTTTTTTTCTTTTCTTTTTTTTTCCTTTTTTCATCATACACATCTACATTTAATTGCAACAACTTTATTATTATTATTTCTAGTGCTTCTTTTTTTGTCCCTTGGCGAGTAGTATTATTTGACATAAGGTTTCACTTCTCGTGTAAATAATCAATACTCATTGTCGTTACCCTATATGAATAGCAAACGAAGTATTAAAATGTACAGAATGTTATTTTTACATTATATGTTCTTGCCTTACAACGTAATATGTATATTTAATAAAAGTATGCATTAGATGTGTGAAAAGTTTCTGCTTCTTTCTCTCTCGTTTTCTTCGTTACTCGCTTCACTAGATTTGTTTCACATGATCGGCCTTATATTATGTAGAAAGAAGATCAATATAATAGTTCTAAATCGACTTTTTTTTTTTTCTTACTCATATTAAATATATGGTGGACACAGGTAATTAGAGAGTGTGTGTGTGTGTGAGATAGAAAGAAGAAAGATTGAAATCGTTTAACAAACATGCAAGGACAACTATGAAGGAGCGTATATATACACGTTCGTATAAACTCGGATGATGATAATGATGATTCAATTTTATATATTTTATGTAGATATATGATCGCTTCATTTTTTCACCTTTGATTGTTGTTCTTGAACGTTTTCTCACATGTCTTATTCACATACACACGTATCGTCGTTTTATTATGTCTCCTGTCATCATCTGGTGATTCTTGCTTAGTATTATAATATAAAGTGCAACGCCATTTCTTTCCTTATTCTTCATCTTCATCTTTTTATTTCTTTTTATATGAATTAAGAGAGAACACACACATAGGATTTTTTCTCTCCTTTTTTTATACTCATAAAAGTGGTTCTCACATATTATAAATTATTCGTCCGAACAACCGAACAAATCTAATGATTTCAATTGAGAAGAAGAAGAAGAAGAAAAGAACGCGAGAGCAATAGTAGTAGTAAGAATTATATTCGATATAAACGATGTATATGTCTGTCTTTGGCTTCGCATCAATGCATTATTATAGACATCGATGTAGATCAACATGACACTTGAACACATCGATTAATATTGAAAAGAAGATTTTCTTACCTGTTGCTTTTCACTTCTCCCTTTTTTCTATTGTTCTGTCTATCTTTTCATAACTATCGTACAATGTGCAATGAAGAGAGAAATTATCATGATATAAGTATGACATACTAGAGAAAAAATACTTTCAGTTTATTAAAAATACTACTTGCGCATTATCAATAATATTCGTTTATCTATATGTATATTTTTCTTTATAGATCATACTAAATAATAATGTCGGTTAAACGAAAGTGTGATTTTGATCGGCCTGAATCATCTTCAACTCCGTGTTCTGAAGATGAAACAATGACTAGGAAATATATTAAAACCGAAGAAATTTTTAATCATAATTCTCCATTAATTAATGAACGTAAGTAATCATAATTATTTTTTTTTCTCAAAAATTCTTATATTATAAAATTAGATGAATCAAATGAAAAACATTCAATATCTCCTCATTTATCTCTATCCAATGAATCTCATTCAGAAGAAACGAAAATCCTACCACAACGTAATCGTCGAAAAAATAATCCTTCTCAGTCGAAAATATCACAAAATCCTTTATCATCATCGACATTATCAACTTCATCATCATCATCATCATCATCATCGCCATCATCATCCATAACTATTCCTATGATTCTTAACTTAATCGATTCATTAGTTGATGAAAAACAACTTGATAATAATGATGAAAATCTTTTAGTAACTATTGATTGTCTTATTAATAGCTTAAAACATTTACGTGAAAAAATCAAAACAATTAATCATGATGATACACATCCATTAAATTTATCTAAACCAAAAATCAAACAAAATATACATGATGAAATAAATTCAACTACAACATCATCAAATTTTCCTTTAACACCAACACTTTTTTCTTCACCACCATTTTTTCCACCATTTTCTGGTAAAAAAAAAACTTTTTTCTTTTTTGCACAATACATTAATCAATGATTATTAATATATTTATTTATAGTTGCTAATATGACTCATTTACAAAATTATTTAAAATTATCTGCTGCATCCGTTCTTAATGATTCAATTGTGTGTATAAATATTATCGACAACTTAGTCTTTATTTTCTTTTCTGTTTTTTAGAATCTAAAAAATGGAGAAAATAGAAATTCAAGATCTTCCTTACCATCACCATTTCTTGCTGGTAAAGAAAACAAATGAATTAATTTAAGATATAATTCTTTTTCAAATAGGTTTAAATATGTTTGCTTTTCCACAGACATCAGGTCATTTACCTCATCATTCGTCAAATACTAAATCAACAACATCAATTGAAACAATGAATACAAATCATAATAACAATAATAATCATCATCATTATCATCATCATCGTGAATCTTCAATTGACAAAGACTCATCGTTAGGTAAGTTTAAATGTTTGTCTATGATTACAAAACAAATGAATATGTAAATCATTCAACCAAAACACAATCATTTATTATTAATGTAACAATAGTAAAGAGAGAGAGAGATATATATACATACGTATATGAGATAGATATTAGTTGATTATATACTTAAATATGCATTGTTCGTAATGATTAAAATAACAATAGACAGGTATACCTAATATTTATCTGTCTTTTGATGAGATACTAAGATGAAAGGGTACATTATTATTTCTATATCGAAATATGATATACGACGTTACTTGCAAAAAAAATAAATGATTGATAAAATATTATCAATATATTTAATGGTGTCTATTAGAATTAGAAATCAAATTCAATACGATTGATTATAATTCACAGTAAAAGTCAATTAGAAAATAATTGTTAAGATTCATTAATGTAAATAAGTCAAAAAACACGGATTTTATCGAGATTGTTTTCTTTAGATAGAAAAACAAAAAAAGAAAAATTTTTTTTCTATGAATTTATTTAGCACGTCAAATTTCAACAAATCGAAAAGAACGAAATCATTCAATATCATCGAATAGTTTATCAACATTATCTTCTAATAATGGAAATAATGAACCATTAACATCTAATGATCATATAAAACGTCCTATGAATGCATTTATGGTTTGGGCACGTGAAGAACGACGAAAAATTTTAAAAGCTTGTCCAGATATGCATAATTCAAGTATCAGTAAAATCTTAGGTACTCGTTGGAAAGCAATGAGTAATGAAGAAAAACAACCCTATTATGAAGAACAATCACGTTTAAGTAAAGTTCATATGGAAAAATATCCGGATTATCGTTATAGACCTCGACCAAAACGAACATGTGTTATTGATGGAAAAAAAATTCGATGGTACGTTTTCTTTTATCTTTTGGTCTTACGAAAATTCTTTTTTTCTTCTTCTATATATCAGGTCGGAATATAAACAAATGTTAAAACAACAAAAAGTTGGTCCATTCGATGAACAATCATCACCTGATGGTAGTCATTATCTACGTAAGTAATGTCATTCTTTTTTATTTTGATTAATTTTTTGTCTCTCTAGATAATGATGAAAGTAGTTCAGATGGTAGTAATGCTTCACAGAAAGAACTTGTTTTTGCTGATTAAACAATGTGATTTTCATTGACACAGTTGAAGTACTTCAAACAGTATTCTCTTTTATGTCTGATCAGGTGTATTTGACAGTTTGTTTTATATACATATACATATACATATAAATATATATATATACATAGAAATAAATACAGTGAATCTCATTGGATGTTTAACAGCCTTGTTTTTTATTCAATGTAAATTAGGTTTTTGTATTTATGCGCATGGTTTTAATCCCGGTGCGCAATATATATCTTTTCTTATTCTTCTTTGTGTTTTATGTTCATTATTCATATTTTATTCTTTTTATGTTTATCATTCTTACATTGTGTCTCTTTTTTCTTTTCTTTTCTTTTTTTTTTTTGCTTTTTATTAAAAACATTTTTTTTTTGACATTCTATAAAAGATAAGAGTTAATCTAATAGATCGGAATGTGTGACAATTACAAAAAGAATTTTTGAAAATCTAATGGTCTGTTAACTTATATTGTTTTATCAAGAGTTTAAAAGATTGTTTTCATATATTACAAATAAACAAAGATGATTTGATTGAAAAGAGTTTCATATCTATTGACCGATTTCGTTGTATTTCCATGGATCAAACAAAAAGTAACCAACTTTATCCTGTTCAAAGTTAAAGGGGGTGATCGAAAATCGTTAATTTTAATGTACTCTAGAAATATCATAATACGAAAGTCCTTGTCATCCAGATCACGAATCTGACATCCGTTTGTCTAGATCTGATCCTTTTTTTCCAACAATTTCCAATATTTTATAAGGAAAAATGGGATTTAAACTTCCTTATACGAAAATGTTCAGCGAAAAAAACTCTACAAAGTTTGAGGAAAAAGAAAATTTTCTGAATACTTATCTGTTTGTGTTTGCAACCTTACGGAACTACCGTACTGAGACTCAGGTACCCCACTATGGCAAACACAGCAAGAAAGGGATCGGATCTAGACAAACGGATGTCAGATTCGTGATCCGGGTGACAAGGACTTTCGTATTATGACATTTCTAGAGTGCATTAAAATTGACGATTTTTCGACCATCCCCTTTCAGATCTCTTCTGAAGAATAACTCTTCACTTATACGTAAGAAGTGTACAACATAGAAAAGAAAAACTACAGATATCGAATGCTTTTTATATCTAGAAAATTTCTGAAACCATCATTTCTCCTCCTATAAATGTATATTCACGTAAAATATACTTGATAACATCAGTATTAGGACACAGAATGTGTAAATCGTAAGATGTCTACTACTAATTTCTCTATCCTGCTGTATTATATCATAAAATCAGTTATTTTTATTATTAAAACGCGTAGATTATCTATTTTTTCATATATGACATGTGGCGCCCTCTATTCATTTATCTATGAAAATTTATATAATGAAAATGAAATAGGCCTTAAAATTGATGGAAAATAATAAATCAAATAAATTGAATTCTTAAAAACATGCTTTCTCCAATAAATATCAAATAGTAACCATAGTAATTTAATAAATGAATAAATGTCATGAGATCTGATAATTATATACCTAATATCATATACCATCATGTCAATCAAGCGTGATTCTACCAATGATCTTAAATATGTTCTTTTACCTACATTGGAAAATCATCGTCGTGAACCTAAATTTCAACCATGGTATTTATTGATTTTTCTCTCTACATTAAAATTCTTTTCAACAAAAAGAACTTGTTTGAAATATTGATATTCTCTAGGGCAATAAATAATTCCAAGTGAGATAATTCATTCTTATTCGCTGCTTTTTATTCTCTTTACCCCTTTGCTCTATATTATGATTCCTAAAATTTTGCAAAAAATACGAAAAGAAAAACATGTTTTAGTATTTCTCTAGGTATCGAGAACGAATGAAAATGAAATATCCATGTCATATAAATACAAAAAATTGGAAATTTGTCAAAGACGGTCTAGATGATTTTCGTGATGGTTTACCACCATCGCATAATGATATTATATTAGAAGTATAATTGATTTAACAATTGATTTGAAAAAACTTCTTTTTTTTGATAGCCTGATAAAGGTCCCGGTCCAGTAATCATCTCTCAAAAACGTCGAGTAAAAGCTACTGTATCCAATCCTCGTCGTCGTCTTGATGATCATCAAATATTTTTTAGTCGAGAATTACCAACTGCAGAAAAACGTCGACAATTAATTGATTATTATATATCAACATTACTCGATCATCCAATGGCGTTTTTTCCACATTTTAATCAAGTTTTATCACCGGATGTGAGAAGAAAATTATTCTTAAATCAATAAATAAAAAGATTAAATTTTAGATGTATGAACAAGTCGCAAAATTACTCGAAGGTGAATTATCACGTGTAATTAACGAGGAACAAAATTTATTATCAGAAGAACATAAAGATATGGTTTCATTATCTCCAAGTGTTCCGATAACTGGATTCGACAGAAGTAATACTGATAAAACTGTATCAGAACAATCTGTTACAACTCATAATCAAAATTCATCAGAAGAATCAGGTGCGAAGAAAAAACGAACACGACCAGGATTAAGTACCATTGTCTATGATGAAGCAGGAAATCAATGGGATTCGGAAGAATATGAAAAAAAACAGAAGAATCCTTATCGTTGGTATATTGATAAACAAATTGAAATACAAAATTCAAAAGGACCTACACGTGAAGATATAGCAGCTTCAGCTATGGTGAATTTTTATAGATAAAAATTTTCTTATGAAATCTTTTTTGTTCTATTCTAGGAAGCTCATCTTCGAAAAGTTGCTGAACATTTTTGTAGTTGGTTATATGATCTTGGTGGTGAATCAAATTTTGATATAGATCCAGCTGTTGTTCGAAATTTATTTTCAACTGCTTATGATACAAAACCATCACTTGATGTACCAATTAAAATAGTACAAATGACTAGAGTTAGTGTTAATTTTTTGTTCTGATTATTAGTTTTTTATTGTCTAAAATTTAGATTCCACCAGAGTTACGAGAAGGTGTACATGACACCATGATTGCTGGATCGAAAGAAGAAAAACCGACGTTTAGTAAAACGGTATTATTCTATAAATAGAAACTAATTAAAATATAGATGATGTATAAATCATTCAAGTAGATATACATTAACTTCAAAGTATTTTCTTTTCATCTCAAAAAAAAAAGATGACTTTAATGTAGAAAATAAAGTGTTCATAAGGCAGATGTTTCTTCGGGTGACAGATATGAGTCTTATTTTAATTACTTTTATTAAACATATATATTATACTTTGCGAATTTGATATTTTATTATCAAAATTGAATCCTTTCGATTTGTATGTTGTGTTGATGATAGACAACAACTTGATTTTGACGTAACAACAAGTTTCAAGGACAATCGATCATAAATTTAGAAAGTAGTTTTATCTAAAATGCATTTTTGCCTAAAGGAATAATGATTAAAAATAAGTTTTGTCATTATAAGATCAGATATTCTTCTCATATGGCTCTTTTCATACCGAATATTTTTTAGCGTTTAAATCCTAAAATAACAAAATCAAATGCATTAACGTCTCGTTCTATTGATTCATCAAAATTTGGCAAATATCGATATGGTGCTTGGTATTTACCTAGAAATCTTTGGCAACGTTCATTAACAACTGAACAACTTCAAGATCCGAAAAAAATTCAAGCCGAACGTGAAGATGCTACACGAATACGAGAAGAACAAACTGTAAACAAAAAACCAATTTCTTTTATATATTAAATCAAACTATTTCATACATGTTTTTTTTAGAATGCTTATCTTGCTCCATTGCACGGTGTTGATGCATTCAAAGATTATCTAGTAGAAAAAAATGTTCGCCGTTTACCAAAAGTAAATCATATATCTATTTATATTAGACTTGAAAGTTGGGTTTTAAGTCTACAGTTGAAGATCAGTTATTATTAGATCTTTTTTTTTGACGAGCTTTGGACTTTAAATTGATAACAATGAGAGTAAAGGATTCCGAAGAGCATTTGTAATTTTTTATTTTGAATGTTTCAAAATATCTTGGCCTCAGCGAAGAAAAAATGTATAAGGTGGTTTTTATGATGAGATCACCGATGGTGGCTATAGGTGAGTTATCAACCACCCGTATTTATCACTTCACCGAAATCAATTTACTCACTTTTTCACCAAGACACACTCATCTATCTTCTTCTTATCCTAAGCGGAACACTTGAATTTAACTTTCAAGTTTCACGTACTCGAAATCAATCAAAGAATTAAATCAATATTCTCTTTCTTTTCTCATTATTTAATAGTTAATTGTCGACGTTGAACAATATCGTCGTGATCATCCTCGTGATTTAACCAATTCAACTAATGATTTTCAACGAAAAGAAACATCTTCATATGACTAATTGTTTTTTTTTATCGAATTTTTTATAATTATTTTCAAATGACATGTATTCTTTTTTTTCTAGATTATTTTTCTATTATGACAGATAAACCGGATTCATATGCCGGTTTTAATGAGTACAATCCTTTGTTAGATACCAATGTAAGTAAAATTATACATAACAAAAAATTGCAACTTATTTTATTTTCTAAGAGTTTGAAATATGATACTGAATTACAGCAAGCTGTTTTAAAAACTAGTCATGGTCGACGAGCAGCACCGGTAATTTTCTTTTGTTTTATTGATATAAATAATATTTTGTTTTCATTTTAGAGTAGTCAAGCTGGTCAGAAAGTAAAGAATTATTTTTTTTGAGGTTATTTTTGATGTAAATTATTATATTTAGGGTGGATTTTTCTCAAAAATGAAAAACGTATTTAATCGACCAAAAAACGCAGATGTACCCGTATCAGCAAGTAATTCGACAACAGGTCGATTAGGAACTGCATCGCGTGCTGCTCAACAACAGCAACAAAATACTGCTGTGGGTGCTCCACTTGGTTCAACTGCTCGTCGTCCTGTTACAGCACAAAAACGACCAACAACAGCTATACAAGGTGCGGGTTTTAGCGCTGGACCAGGAGCATTCGGTAGTTATGTCGCAGTATCAGCAGCAGGACCAAATCCATTCGAAAAGAAAGAAGAAAGGTAAATATATCATTAGGAATAAGATGAAATTTATTCATGTATTTTTTTTTTCAGTAATGAAGAGAAAGCACGTAAAATAGAAAAAAGTATTATTGATCTTGTGAATGAAAGTTGTTTAGCTTATGAAAAAAATGATAGTAAAACAGTAAGAAAAACAAAATTCTAGTAACTATAATTAATGTAAATTTATTCAGGCACTTGAAAAAGCTGAAGAAGCAGTCAGAAATGAAAAAAAGCCTTACTCGATATTGTGAAGAACAAAGTATTAGCGAATCAGATATAAATTTACAGGGTTTCGTATGTATTAATTTCTTCTCATTTACATTTTAAGTTAAACACTTTTTTTTCTATAGGTAACCCTTCATTGTGCAAATATGTATACAAAATGTGGTATGAATACAGAGGCAATAAATCAGTATAATATAATACTTAAAAATAAATTAATTCCTGCACATAGTCGAATGTAAGAAAACATAAAAATTATTTTCCCTAGAATAACAAAAGAAATTTTTTTCAGACGAATAAATATGGGCAATATTTTATTACAATCAAAACAATATGTAAAAGCATTAAAAATGTTTCGTATGGCACTTGATCAAGTGTCTGAACAAAACTCGGATTTAAAGTATAGATTTACAGAGATTACAATACATATTATTTTCTTTTTAAAGATTAAAAATTCGAGAAAATATCGCTGCTACACATATTATAATGGGTCAATATGGTGAAGCAGCTCAAACATATGAATCTATAGTACAAGAACGAGCAAATTATCGTGTTTGTTTTAATCTTCTTCTATGTTATCATACATTAAATCAACGTGATAAAACACGATCAGCATTTACTGATTTACTTAAAATACCATTTATAAATTCTGAAGATGATTATCTTGTATCAGTAAGACATATGACTTAATTTTTATTAATTGATTATCTAATATTTTTTAGATGGACAAAGAAAATAAACATGCTAATCTTGTTTTAGAAGCCATACGAGATGATCGTTTAAGACAATATGAACGCAAACGGTAGGAAATAAAATAAGATAGCGATTTATATCAAAGAAATAAAACTAGACAGATTTTGTTTTTATCTTAATCTCAATCATGTAGAATAATGTACAGACTAAGATATGATACGATAGATATCTAGAGGCATTAATGTCTATCTTGACTAGTATAGAACCGATAACTAATCAAGATAACATTAGTACATACTTAATTGTAGATTAATTCGAAGAATTTTGTATCAAAAGGAAACCATACAAAATATCAAAGATTAAATCGGGTTACAAATAAATTGTTCAATATTCAGGTGAGCTAAACGATGGTGACAGTGTGATACTAATCTAACGTTACTAATTAGTTATATACATACTTACCAAATACTGACAATTTTAAAGACTTATTTTTTGTGAAAATAACGATTTTCTCTATTCTTATATGTTATAATTTATCATCTTATCGTAGACGTCGTTTTGCTGAACATGTTATTATTACAGCAGCTAAACTTATTGGTAATAATTCTGATGGTGAATTTGTTGGTGGTTATGAATGGTGTATTGAACAAGTACGAGCTTCGTCTTATATTGAATTAGCAAGTGGCCTTGAAATACAAAAAGCTATTGCTTATTTACGTGAAGACAATTTTGTGAAGGTTAGATAAAAACTGAATAAAATTAATATAAATTATGCTTTTAGGCTATTGCCACGCTTAAAGAGTTTGAAAAAGCTGAAGCTAAATTAGCTAGTGCAGGTTTGTGAAGTGATTTCACGAGAAAAATAAGATATATGTATATATAATTATTATTTTTAGCTGCAACTAATTTATCATTTTTATATTTTTTGGTAAGAATATCTGAATAATTTATTAGTTTTATTGTTTTGAAATTTTTCAGGAAAAAGATTTAAATAATGCACATAAATATGCTGATTTAGCTTTAAAATCGGACAAATTTAATCCAGCTTGTAAGTTCAATAACATTGACATTATCTGAAGTTTATTTGTTTTTTAAATTAGCTTTAACAAACAAAGGTAATTGTTGTTATGCTCAAGAAGATTATGATAAAGCACAATATTATTATGAAGAAGCATTGAATATTGATGCTGGTTCTGTTGAAGCTCTTCATAATCTTAGTAAGTTAATTCGTTTGAAAAACATATCATTTAGAAATTTTTGTAATTATTTTAAGTTCTTACGTTAATAAAATCACGTCAATTTCAACGTGTCAAAGATTATCTACATAAGTATACAATAATTCAGCCTGACAATAGTCAAGTTTTTTGTTTAATGGCACAAGTATTACAACAAACAAACGATATTGATCAAGCAAAAAGTTGGTTAGTAGTATTGAAATAAGAGCTGTTATCAGAAGTCGACAGTTGTTTATCGTGCATTCAATTTAGTTTAGTTAATTAGTATTCGTATGTTTCCTGCATTGAGTTATAGACAATAAACAGATGAGGCTTTCTCTGTCCGGTTTTTGGTTGTATTTTCGAAAAATATTCTGACTACATATCTAGTGGTCTTTTGTTTTTACGACGTTCGGGTGGCATTCCATCAGATCTGACAAATGATCTGTGAACAACTTCGCATCTAGATTCTAACTATCGTCTAAAATGCAAAGTCCGGCAGTTTTACTGAATAGTCCGAGATCTTTAGCTAGTAGATCCTATCATCACTCGTGAAAATGGTAGCTCTACAAATAGAAGATGTTTTTATCTACCGGTAATTTTCGAAAAAAGCTTATTCTATTTCCCATGTAAACATGCAACAGACATTACAATGTTTTTAAGCGTTTAATATGTTTTTTTTACTGTCAAGAATTTCTTATCTACAAGAAGTCTAACTTGAAGTCAAAAAATTGATTCAATCATAATATATGATGAAAAATGAAGAATTTTATTTCAAACTCTTTAGGTATTTACAAGCATTAAGTATACATCGAACGGATGGTTATTTACATCGACGAATAGGTGAATTAATTGATGGACAAAGTAATAAATCAGATGCCTTACAATATTATTTCGATGTATGTAGAAAATAGTTTAAAAGCTTTTCAATATTAACTGTTTCTCATCAAGGCTTATCGACATAATCCATGTGATATAAAAACCTTAGAATGGCTTGCATCTTATTATATTGAAACACAATATCCTGAAAAAGCAGTCGAATTTTGCCAACAAGCCGCCTTAGTCAGGTAAAAGAATTTTTTTATTAAAACCAAATAAAAAAACAATAAGGTATATTTTTAGACCAGGTGAAATTAAGTGGCATTTAATGGTAGCATCATGCTATCGTCGTGCTGGTGATTATACAGCTGCCTTAGAAAAATACAAATGGATTCATCAACATTTTCCCGAAGATACCGATTGTAAGATTTCCTTATATTCAGAATCGTTCTTTAGGGATTTACAAGACTTATATATGCTTGAATTTAATCGTTTAGGAGTATTAGATAGTACGTTCATTTTGCGTAGTAATATTTGTAAAAAAACAGAACACGCTATATTATGTTTTTCCTTCGGTCTATGGAATCATTATTTCAGTACTTTTTTTAGAACAGTTATTTTAATAACTTCCGAAACCTTAACAAGAACATTTACATTGTATGCTTTCATACATGTTTCTTTCCTCTTTTTCAAAGGTGTAAGTCGCAACCGCCCACATTATTTCTAAAGAAAATTATTCATAAAATATCTATTTATATTTCTTTTCTATAGAAATTGCTTAAAATATCATTTTTATTTCATGAAAATATCTATTTAAAGTTTTCAAGATTTTATTAATTTTTTATGCATTCATAAATAATAAAGAATGATATATTTTTGATTTTTTTAATAATATACTTTTTAGGTATTCAATTTTTAATTAAAATTTCTACTGATCTTGGTTTACATGACCGTGAAATGTATGAAAATGAATTAAAGAAAGTAAATAAACTCAAAGAAATACAACAACAGGTATTCAACAAACATTCAAATTTAATAAAAATAATTCAAATTTTTCCTAGCGTAAAACAAGTGCAGATAAAAGTCAAAATATGATTAAAGGTCGAAAAGTAACATCTACTGAACGTGATGGTAATAATAAAAAAACAAGAAATTTTTTTTCTAATGTTTTTTATTTATTTAAGTTTCTTCAAACAATCGAAATCAGCAAATAGATGATCATAGAAAAAGAATACCTATTGACCTCGACAATACAGAAGGTGTTTTTTCTCAACAAGGTTATTGCAAACTATATTTTTTTTTTGTTTTGTTTAAATATTTGTTTTCTGTTAGAACTTATTACAACTCATCCGTATGTTGAGCAATTTCCTGAACATATGAAAAATGAACGACCAAAAACTGCGATCAGTAAAAAAGAAGCAAATACAATTATTTTCGATGACAATGACGATGCAGCTGAACTATTACCCGATTAAAAACAGACAGATTTATTACTTTTTTTCTCTGTTTTATACGTTTCTCTAAGAGCAATAAAAAAAAAGTGGCAATGCCAATATGGATTGGTTATGGAAACCCCTTGAATATTTTTTTTTCCTCAGTTCTTTTTTCTCATCTGTTTTGCAGCTGATCATATTTTGTTTTTCCTCTTCCGTTAGAAGAGAAAACAATAGCTAACGGATAGAAAAAGACGACAAAATATGTCGGTCGTACATCTTTTCTTCTAGGCTTTACAGAGGAAAAGAACGAACGGTATTGATGTAAGAGAGAAGAAGAAAAAAAAAGCTAGGCTGACGACCTTTTCTCTTTCTTTTACAAGTAGCAACAGATATCATTGTAAGTAGCAAGCAAATGTCAAATAAATTTTACATTGGTTTGTACTCTTAAATTTTAGTTTTTGATAAAAATTCAATGGATCTTTTTTTGTTGGAAGCATTTAAATTTTTATCGTGTAATTTAATAAATAAAAAATGCAGACTATAAGCATTTCCGATAGTTAAATTTAAACTTCCTGTTGAGTTTTAAATTAGACATAGGATAGTAATAATATTGACTATAATTAAACTGGTTTTTATGATTAAAAGTTGATAAATAACGTGTTGATCATGTGCGTGACATGAAAGTATAGCCCGTTTTAAGTCTAGGGAAAATGCATGTCTTTTTCTCTTTCTTTTTCTATTTTTTCTCGCTCGCATTCCTCCATCCTGAGTGCGTCAAAAACAGTTCCTTTTTGTTGTCTACCATCTAACATAAGCAATCATCAAATAGAGTAGAAGAACATATCGGGTAGTTTTCTATGAATTTCTGTGGAAAAAAAGAAACTATTTTCATAACACTAGAATATTCCTATTATGAAAATAATAAGTTTATTTTTTTTCGAGTTTTATTGAAAAGAAAAAAATTAAAAATAATAAAGTTTAATCATATCCATAGATTGTTAGTTTCTATTTAATTAATAATAATGAATAACTATATATTCTTTTTTATTTAGTTTTATTTTCAATATAAGAATTACGAACATGTACTCATCTGGTTCCGATCTTGAATTAGTATCATCATCCAACAACATGAATTCCTTCCAAACATGGAACCAGCATAATGATTATTATCCTCGTAATGGCTCATTTCATCAACATAATCCTTACTTCATACAAAAACCAAATGACGACAATATTGTTTTAGAAAAATTTCAATATGATACATTAGTTAAATTAGAAACAGGCGAAACAAAAAACATACAACAATTAACAACAAATGATTTTCTAATCAGTACGAAACAAAGTCAACAATACTCGAGGTAATAAAAGACAGACAGAAAAAAGAAATAGAAGGCATAACTTTTGTCATAACCAACGATAAAATATATGTTATGTTTTTTCATATTTTTTTGTAGTCTTTTCGCACGAGTAGAATATATTGGTTGTGTAGATAAATATACTGGTAAAGTTGAATTACGTTTTTATATTAATGAAATTCAAAAAATGGTAATGAAATATTTATATTTAATGTTATAATTAAATTTTCTTCTTTTTCAAGATATCATATTATGTTCAACAAGAAATGCCATTTTTTGTACATCAATATTCTTGTTGGTCATCAATATCACCTGAATATACACGTCGTATATGTGGATTAAATTGTCGTCAATTAGAATGTGGTGATATAATCATGGCAATAACTGAACATCCAACGATTTCATCACAAAAATATATTAAACCTGATTATACTCAACAATCACCAACGAAATGTTTAGTTGAAAGATATATGAATGAAAAAATATCATCATCAAAAGATAATATAATATTAAAAAAACAAATATTTTCAAATACAAAATGAATATTGAAGACAAAACGATTAGTGTTTTTTTTATATATCCTGATTTATTACGCTTGGACGCGTCTAAATGTCTTTAATATATATTTTCTTGCTTTAAGGTACATTATAGGCTTAGGTTATTCCTGGTTTCTTTTTTCGCACTAATAATAGTAAATAAATTTTGTTTCGTGTTGTCTGCACTATTATATGTATAACAGATCAAGTTTCATACGAAAAAATCTTATATTTTATTTTTATTTCTATTGTCAGTATTGTATTATTGTGATTCCCATTTTTTTCTTTTTCAACGATTCATATTTATAGGCTAATTTTTAATGATTATTTTTTGTTTTCTTATATTATGTTCTTCATTTACCTATATTATATGTATGAGTTTAGTTTGAAAATTGTTAATCATATTTAATAAGACAAACATTTGTTTCTATTTAGGAAAATTATATTTTATGTGTGTATGTTATTATTCGTAGGAAATAAACAGAAATTGAATTTAATATGATTTAAGATTATTTCAAACTGGTTATAATGATAAGCGATGATAAGAAAAAGTATTCGTTTTTCAAGTTCGTATTAAAATGAAAATTTCAATCATAGTTTGTGTATTATTTGCATAGAAATAATCGCAAACTCGATTTTTGTTTTTTTTATATTATTAATTAATGAAAGTATGGTGTAATTAGAGCGAGACTGACGGGTGGGCGTTATCAGGATCTGGTTGGCGTATGTTACTTATTTGTACGGGAGTACGAGGAAGTAAAATATGTTATAAACGACTGATATACTATTTATATATGGAATTTTTGTTGCGTTGTGTATTTCAAATATATTTACTTTTTTCTTTTATTGTTAGGTATTTAGAGAATGTCATGAGAATCTCTATATCAGCGGACTAGACTGATATATCCGCTTCAAATAGCATAACTTTTCTTTTTTTTCTTTCGAGAACTTAAAGAATCTCTTTGTGATGTGAATGCGTAATTAGTTATTTTCTGTTAATTATATGTTACAAAGTACAGCATGATAATAATATATCAGGTTTGTTCTTTTACACTCAATAGAATGAAACGTCCTTTGAAGGAACGTAAGTTCAGAACTCATTAAAAGTCGATTTGAACTAAAAGTAACATCAATGATGATTATCGTCGAGTTCCGTCGATTATAATAATCATCTGCTTCTAGTCGCTATTCTTATTAGAAAAACAAGCAAAAGTAATATTTATACCATACAAAATTTTACAATATATATATAATAAAGTCGTATGTCTTCCTAATAATTACTCTTAGTAGAACAGAAAATACACATCAATCAATAAAAGCCTATTGGCGAAAACTGTTTCATTCTGGAATCTGAAACAAAACCAGATTTAATACTATAGTACCTTCAGTTAGTAATGGAGAGGAAATGTATTGTAAGTAAAAAAAAATTGAACTTATTCACATCATTCACTTCTATAAATACTTTGAGTGAACGAATGAGATTACTTACTCTGTGCATATTCTCTTTTTTTTTATATTTATTACACAAATCGACGCTTTCACATATCGGAGAGTGTGATGACGTGCTAAATTTAATTATAGTCGAGTAAAGAACATCTTTTCTACTCAATAAACTATCATTTTTTTCCAAGTAAAATCTAATCAATGAGTTACTAAATCATGTAATTTTTTAGGTTAATAGTACAGAAAACTAGTAATATGAATAGCTGTTATATTGAAAGTAGAATATTTCGATTGAGATATATGATAGATATAATCTTATTACATTGGTAATAAGAACTTTGGATTGATTCTAATACGTTCAAGTTTTCCATATTAAGACATGCGTCTTTTCATAGGTAATATAAAGATCAGTGTGAAATTGAATGCTCTAGTGTTTTGAGTAGTAATTTGAAACAAAATGTATAACAGTATTCTAAAACTGTCATTTCATAGTATACAAAAAAATAAAAAAAGTAACCAATGTTCCCATATTTGAAATGAATGCACATACAATTTTCATCTGATATATTGCGATACACATATTATCTAAATTTACATTAGTGAATAATATATTCGAGGGAAAGTGTGTTGCAATGAATATGTTGTACATTTTACTTTCACTGTATACATGTACCAATAGAAATACTGACTTGATGTATCTCTTATTGTAATAAATTTTATCACTAGAGGAATTATCTGAATTTCTGTAAATTTTGCTTTTCGTTTTTTATACAATAATAAATGACACATTTCCCCAAATATGAAGTCAGTCTTACTATTAACCAACTTAATTATATCAATAAAACGTGACATATACAGCTCATAACATGATATTCAATGGACCGAAACATTCGTCACACACAAACCTACTTGTCAATCTATCCGAGCGCAACAATCTTAGTCATTTAAATATAATATTGAAGCATAATTTGAGGAAATATCTTAAAAAAATCGATATTTTTTCTTATTTACGGATGGGCGTATATTACTAATAATGTGTCAAAAGTATGCGTGATTTTAAAGTTTCTTCATCAATAATCATTTTCATTCTGTATATGTGTGCCTAATGTTTTTCTTTTGAATCATTGACAACTATCTCGTTTCTTCCTATTCTTCCTTCACTTGGTATTTTCACGCATATCAACCAATTCTGATCAATTGACGTCATTTTCAATCAAGTCACAAAAAATATAGGTATATAAAATCGTTTTCATATCTGAATAAATATTCTATTGACGACATCGATAACCCATGGCTCTACATTTACTTGCTCTTGGTGCTCTTGGCGCAGGAGTGGCAGCCGTTGGCGCCGTCGGACTTGGTGCAGCAGTTGCATATAAAGTAGGTTCCGCCTTTGGTACGACAGTCGAACAAGTATATGAGCGGCAAGCTATGGATAGTTATTACAACCAGCAACAATATCCTCAATATTCACAACACCAGTATTATCAGTATCAAGAACCGAGCAGACATCATCATCATCATAGTTACCACTCTTCTCATTATCGACATTGAATGTATTACATATCTACATATTCATATACACGAACATTTATATTACGTTTAATAAAAAAAAACATATTAAAAGATTGTACATTGGAGCAAATATTACAATTAAACGATACAGAAAATAAGAATTTGATAGAATAATGACATATTACCTAAGAAATATAGTGATAAGTATGTAGTCATTCATAATGATTTATTAATAAGACTTTGAATAAAAGAAACTATTGAATGTTTCACTTAATCCCTAAATTAAATATACTTTGACTAGAAAATATGACCTTGATGTAAAAAATATATTCTTTAACCCAAACTCTTGGTAGATTTTCACAAGTGTAGTATATTTCGTAGTTAAATATTGTGTTTCACATGTAAATATATCGAAAATTATTACTTGACTGTCAACTAATGAAAAGTAAAATATTTGATCATATGAAGCAGATGTAGAAATTAATTTAGAACACTTCTAATAATTCGTTTTATAGCGATAACAAGACTGAATTCAGTTTTTTCTACTGTACGAGTACATTATTTTCAAATTACTAGTTTTCTCTACTATTAATCTCAAAAATTACATGACTTGATGATTCATTGATTCGATTTGTTTTGGTTAATATTCACTCGCTTATATTCTGTCAGAGTTAGCTATTAGTTGGAAAAAAATGATAATTTATTGAGTAGAAAAGACGTTATTTACTTGACTATAATTAAATTTAGCACATCATCACCCCCCTGATATGAGTAATAAACATGAGAATAAGGAGAATATGCACCAAATAATAAATCGCATTCGTTTACTCAAATTATTTATAAAAGTGATTGATGTGTTAAAAATTGTCAATCTACTATAAAAATTTTATATTCATATTCGATTTGTATAGTCCCTTATTGTTTCCAAGTTTATCGATGACCGTTGCCAATGATTGGGATATGACAAGAAAACGATAAACAAATTTCTTCCGTTTTTTCTTTTGAATTGTGTACAAATACTGGTAAATAAATAATCGAATTAGTCATTTCCTCTATGCGTTAAGTAAAGTAGACTATTAGGCATACAGTATCACATTCTTTAGTAGATATTCATTAAGCAAATCGTATTATTGGATAAAAAACTGTTAAAGTTATTTATCAACGGTAAATTAATCTTTATTTATCGTTAATACAAAAAAAAAATAAATAACAATCTTTTTCAGTGATTATTTATATGAAAAATAAGAAATACTTGGTGATATATTTATTCTTCATCAACAAAATCATTCTTAATGAGACTGTACATTCGGCTAAATAAATAATTAAAATTTAGTTTTTAATTTAACAATAAAGAGTATCTTACTTGTACATCTCGAAGTAATCGTCGACAAGCATAACAAACATGAACGGGTTCATTACTAGAAAATAATTTAAATCATATATGAAATTTTATGAATAACAAATGCAATATATACCTATTCGGAGATGTAGTAAATAGTTGATGAACAAGTTTTTGTCTATTTTGATCAGATATCAATGATTCATCTACATTAATATCAAGTGGACAACAACACAAATCACATCGCTCAGGTCGTATATTTTTTTCAAGTTTATCAGATGTTCTATAATAAAGTATACAAGAAATTAATTATCTTAGAAGTTCGCGAAAGTGAATAACAATCCGCATTCAGTCAAGTAGCGATTTATAGATAGATAGATTTTCAAATAAGTTAGTCTCACCGAAATATTGTACTAACAGTTGAAGGAAACTGTCGTTGTAGATCATTAACAAGTGTTTCAGTAAGTTGAAAGATTGATGATTGCGGACCGGACTATCAAAGACAAAAAGAAAATATTTAATTCAAACATAAAAAACAAATATACCATTGTTGATATATCAGCATTTTGCAGAGATTCAATAGAATTTAATCGATTATACATAGCAATTTCTTTCGACGTTATTTCTCTGTAAAAATATATATCAATATTTGGTAATAACATTAGAAGAGGCATTTACCGAAATGGTCGTACGATTGTGACTAAATCATTTCTTGAATCCGTTAAATTCTATATGATAAAGAAAAATAAAATAAATTCAAATAAATATAATGTCTACTAACACATTCTAAGGCAACATGTGCACCTTTGCCTTGTGCCATATCCGAAAGAATTTGTGCTGCAAGTTTTGTACAATTATCACCTGTAATTAATTTTGTACATTTTTCACGAATAGCAATATCAAATAATAATTTTAATCTATGAAATTATTTAAATCTTCTATGAAAATGAATAGGTAAATCTACCTTCGTCGTCGAACAAGTTCTTCACGAGCTGTTAATGTTTTTGTACGTTCTAATAATAACTGTTGGAAATCATCATCTTTATCAAGATTCTATTAATAAAAGTTTGTATAGAAATAAAAATACTTAAAAAAACTTTCCATACATCATCAATAGAGACAATATGTAATGGATATTGCAATCGATTTGTAATAAGATCGGTCACTTTTTCACGAACACTTACTACATCCGAATATAACGAAGATTCTAGAAAAAGGGTTTTTCAGTTCATCACAGTAAAAAACTATTCAATTTGTATTTACCATCAATGAAAGCAACTTGTGCTTGAAATTGAAGACGTCTTCGTGCTTGAACACTCAGACCTTCAGCAATTAAATGCAGCAAAGCTGATGATGATGATCCACCGGAATAAGCAAGCAGAACATTTTCACCACGTCCAAATACATTCGATTTCGATAATGTTGAACGAAATTTATGAATGAAAAATTCTTCGAAACATTTTCTAAAGTAGTTAAACTATTCTTATATCTTAACGTATAATTTCTTCGAATGAAAAACTCTTTTTTTTCGTTGTATTCGTTTATAGTAACAAAATATTATCTGATAGTTATTCACATACCGACACATTGGATCCGCAGTTCGAACCACAACACAAGCATCTTGATCGCAACTCACACATTTTCGACTAATTGGTCCTCTACAAACAAATGTCAGATTATTGACAAAGTCATATTTCCATACTTATTCGTTCCAGATTTAAGTGCTTGAAATGCTTCGTCATCTTCTTCATTTATTTGACACATATCTGTAAAGCGAAGAATTCATATATTTATATATATATATCTTGTTGCAGATTTGTTAGTATGCATGAAAAAGATTATAGATTTTGTTTTTTCATATATATTTAATTTTCGTTTGTCTTCGTATTTTTAATATGCTTAGAAAGAAAAAACAAACAAGCAATAATATCGGTCACAAACGAAAAAGAAAAACAATGATGGCAATGAAAATTTTTATTTCTTTTTTTTTGTTTGTCAACAGAGACTTATATGATGTTCAATGTCTCATGCTAATAATACACAGGCACCACCAGCTGCTTTAATTTTTTCTTCAGCACGTCTTGAGAAAAATTTTGCCTTGACAATAAATGGTTGTTTAGGTAAAACACCTTTGCCTAATACCTTGAAATAACCTGATCGTACAACATTAATAACAGGTGTAACAGCAGCTTCTCCACCACTGAGTTTTTCTTGTGTACGTTGAGTTAATAATGACCATAATCGATCGAGATTAACTGTTGGACACCAACGTCGATTTTTAAGTTTATGAAATTCACGTTGACCAACTTTACCGAAGTAACCAGGATGGTATTTATCAAAAAGTGTACGGTGATGATGAAGACCACCAGCATTACCACGACCACCAGGATGTTTACGATGTTTACCAACACGACCATGACCGTGTGAGACGTTACCTAAACAAAAATTTCAATATAGAAAATTTCTCTTATGAATTTTTCTGCGCATACTGACAAATAGAAAGAGTAAATTCATAAAATGAGATCACAATGAGTATAACTTTATCGTAGAACGAACAATGATTGAAATCAATGAAATACTTCCTGATATTCAACGTTATAGAATAGCATAACTCAATCTTATTAATTTCTAATAGAGAAGATATCATCTAGAGAATTCTCCAAACTTATTACGTTGATAGATCAAATATTTGAAAACCTTCGTTGAATCAAATATCATCATAGACAGATCTCGCTATTATGAGTACGACTCTAAAATAATTTTGTATTTCCTGACAATACAATTTTCTTCATTATTTTTCAACGATTTTTATTGATATGCAAGTACATCTCAGAACATATCATTTATGAGAAAGACAAAAAACTCAAATCTACTATCGTCTCTTATTTTACACTTTAGTATTTGTAAGTACATAAGAAAATTTAACATACCACGTAATTTAGTTTTCTTTGGTTTCTTATTCAATCGCGAATTTCGTGCTGAACCCCGTGCGGCCATTTTTTATATAAGATAATATATATATTTAAATAGAGAATTTATCTAGAATAAAATAAGTGATTAATATATGACTATTTAATATACAATTTAATTTTGTTCATGTTTAAGTAACCAAACTTTGGTATTATTTCTTACACCTCCTGCATAATTTCCTAATTCACCATTAGAACGAATAACTCGATGACATGGTACAATTAATTGAAATGGATTTCGACGCATAGCTGTTCCAACAGCACGTGCAGCTCGTTTATTTCCAGCTAATTCAGCTAATTCACCATATGTTACTGTTTGACCATAATGAACTTGATTTAAAAGTGTACGCCAAACATTTGCTTGAAATGAATCATTTTTTGTAATTACAGCTGGACAAAGTTCAGGTGTTATCAATATTTTTTCTTTTGAATGAAAATAACTATCAAGCCATTGAAGACACGATTTAGGAAGTGAATCTTTTCCAGTTGTTGAGACAATTTCAATGGGTTGACTAAAGATGCAAAGTATTTATTATTAAATATCAGAAACTATTACGATATTAACTTTTCATCAGCTATAAAAGTTTTATCGTTAATAGTTGGTACTTGTATAATAAAATGTAAACCTTGTGGACAATAATCTATTGCTAAATGACCTATTGGTGATGAACAAATCGATGATGAAATTTCACACATTTTTAAAAGGATTTTCATGAAAAAACAATAACTGAATACGAAGAGGAACAAGCAAACAACCAAAAATTACCAAACCATTTTATTTAACCAATGAAAATGAAGTAATCCATCAGAATGATCCTTTTCTTTTTAGAGAATTTTTATACAAAAAATTTTTAGAAATAAAATTTTTCTTCATGAAAGTTTATTAAACTTTAAAAAAAAAAATAATAATAAAATATAATATTTATACAATAACAGCAAATGGCGATATTTTTTCATTGGTTAATAATATTCACATGGATTATAGCGCTTATCTATAATAAAATCCTTTTCTTAGGCATAATATTTATCTAAAATAAAAATATCTAGAGAGTCTATTGTAGATTATTCCTACGGAATACGTTTAAGAAAATCAGAGTGACATCAAACTTTCATTATCAAAAGATAAAGAATTGCAACTAAATGAAAAGACTGTGGTATATTAGATGAACTATCGGATCATCATAACTTCTTTCTTATTACAAATAAAAAACAAAATATTGAAAAGATTGATAGGTTGAACATAGTAGTTTATTACATTTCATTATCTATTCTCTACATTCAACTGTGGCTTACGACTATTGACAGGGGTGGCGCAAGTCAACCAACATTGGGGAGGTGTAACAAAATTTTTTGAATTTTTGGGGGGTGTAGCGTCATCTTTGGTAAAAAATCTAAGAAGATTTGCCGATTTTGTTGATCAAAAAATAAAAAATTTCGAAGATTGGGGGGGTTTTACACCCCCCCTCGATCGCGCCACCCCTGACTATTGATGTAATAGTGTTGTACATGTACCGACGACGTCTTTACTCAGTATTTTTTAGTCTTGTCCAAACTCGAGTATGCTTTTTTTAGGAATATTTAACTGATTGATCGTAATTTTGAAATGCATTGTTCTATATGTAGTTTATATGGAATATATGACATAAATTCTTTATTTTCACTTTATACATATATCCGTGATTTTTTTAGTAAGAGAAATTATTTAATTTATTGATATTATTATATATTAAACAACATTTTTTTTATCAAACCACATGTTCATAATATGTCTTCGTCCATGGATATTTTTGTTTAGTTTCATAGTTTGGTGATTCATAACATTGTTCATAAATATGACTGGATAATGTATCGCATTCGATGGGTTTGCTTGATACATTGCAAAAAGTTGTTGACTAAATATTAAAGAGAGACATAGGAATAGAAAACTAATTTTAATATATTACTTTCATTACACACTTGGCTTTACGTTGTTGAATAAAATATTTTATAAATATACTAATACTAATTAAAACAAGAAGAGTAACAACAGTAATAACTAAAAATAATTTCAAAAAAATTTAATAGACGAATATTTAAAAAGAACATACCGATATAGATTTTGAATTCTTCAAATAATTGAAAGAATGAATTATTGTTATCTATAATACAAAATAAATATCGTTTCAATGATCCTATTGTTAAAAAAAATATTAACTTACAAGATTTATAAATATTATTACAGGCTCGACGATCTTGTATAGTTTGACAAGGTACATAATGAAGCATTTTACAAGCTAAATCACAGCGTATTTCATCTTTGGATGAGCATGAATAGAGATTATTAATACAAAGTTCTATTTAGAAAATACGTAAATAAATAATTATGATTAGTAGTTTTTAACTCACTACAAAAATGTCCTTCTTCATCGGAACGATCATGACAATCAATAATACCATCACAAAATTGTGACCAAAGTAGTGTCCGATTACCCCCATCGCATGTATGACTATTTAATAGTACCATTGTGTCTGTCTTCACATCAGAAGTGTTAGTTAATACAGTCTGATTCTCTCGTCTTCTTTTTTTTCCTGTAATACATTTTCTTTATTATTATGTAATTGAGATGTAAGAGAGAACAACCGAAAATGATTTTATTTTTTTTTTCTTCTTCTTCTTCTCTTGTTCTCGTTAATATAAGATTGGGTATTAGTATAAACTAAACAACAGTTGTCTGTCTTCTTCTTTGTTACTGTACAAACAGATAATGATCTTGCTTCGTTGTTAGTTAAATCAAGTTATTTCCATTAATAAACATTCTTTTTCATATCGATGTAATCAGAACGTGCGTCGGCTGCTACATATATAGATATATTGGTACCATTATCGTCAACAGTACATTTCTATGTCTGATGAACTTCTGTCAAAATGTCATAATAAATCTTTTCTTTTTTTTCGCTCTTTTCTTATCGATTAGCATAGCGTTCAATTAGATTGTTTATCGGTTGATTTCGATTTGAACGATAGAAGATTTTCTACTTCATCTTCTCAAAATTATTAATAATAAATTATCGTCCTCTTTTTTTTCCTCTCGCTTGATTATTTCTTATACCTTCTTTATAATGTATAAAGAGAAAACCTAGATGAAAAGAATTTTAAATTAAGAATCATAATGGGTCAAATAAAGTCAAATAGAGAATTGTGTTCGACTACATAATTAGGCATATATATATATTTACTACTAGAATTGTATATGTCATTTCCGCTTAAGAAGTCATGAATAAAACAGGAAGAAATTGATGATGTGTCAAGTTAGATCAAGTATAGTTACCAAACTAAATTTTCTAGTAATTACTTCAACTTCATTGATTTTTTCTTACTATTCTAATATTTAATCTTTAGCGGATTTCACTGGAATTGAATATGGTAATACGTCTAATGTTCAATGAAACGCGGTATTCATGAATGAATTAAGAAGGATCTTTTTCTACGACTCGTTTGTCTTAAATTGTAATTTAGTTTGAAGTATTATGTGTTAGTTTTCACTAAATAACAATTAAATGTTAAATCTATGACTTGTAAAAAGCAAAAACAATTCAACGTCATTTCCCGTGATAAATCACATGCAAAATAATGACGTCAACAAAAAAAATATATATCTACCGTTTGACTTTTTTCGTTTTAAAGTTTAACTATTTATTACGAAACTAAATTTGCAAAGCAATAACAGATTAGACAATTAAAAGGTTATCAAATGTTTAGCAAAGCTAATAATCTGAATTTTCATATAAAATGAAGAAATTAATTGCTTGCAATAATATACTATTTTTTCCTATGAAGAAAAATCAGTTATGAATACATAAATATTATTACTTGAAAAAATTTTCATTTTCTTTTTTAAATAAATTAGTATTTAAAAACTGTAGTGCTATTGTAGTATGAGTATTCTTTTTTTTTCTTAACTAAATATCAACTAGCAAACATCACATTCGTCCCTCATCTTTACATTTTTGTTTTTAGTAAAAATACCAAAATAAGTCACAAGAAGATTACTATATCGCCTACATGTTTTAGTTAAAAAACAACCGCAAAAGAAAAATAAGATTGATCTTTATATATATCAGTATCGATTCATTGTTTTTATATGTGATAGCCACGTCTTGATTATTTGAGAACAGTACGCCTCTCACTAAGCTTTAAAAAAGGACGTATTATTTAAATTTCGTTGCATTTCGAGTAATACCAAAAAATCGAACAATGGTATTCACATATCGCTATATGATTTTATATGTTATTGCTACAGTGATTATTGCTGTTAACAGTCAAAGTATGTAGTTGTAAACTATAAGCATATACACATTAATGTAAAAACATATATTAGGTTCATGTGTAGATTTTTCTGCTGATCCAGCGAATTGTACAAAATTTATTCGATGTTTTCATAATTTACGTATTAGATTTACTTGTCCACCAGGTACAGCATGGGAAGATTCATTAAAAACATGTGTTTGGAAAGAATATGTTGAAGCATGTAATGGACAACCACGAGCAAAACAAATTAATCTCGGTAATTAGTTATACTATTTTTCTGAAATAAATTTGTTTTTTATTAAATCTAATAGATAAAGGGATAAAAATATATGAAGCTGATCGAAATGCTCTTAATAATATTACAATTGGTCGTACATTAACTGAAGCACGTGCACTTGGAAAAATAGTAACACCTAGACAATATCAATGTACAATGTGTGCTACTGGTGCTTGTGCAGTTGTTGTTACTACTGTTCAATGTGTTTGTGGTACCGCCCAATGTTTACCAACATCAGCAGCTAGTATGATAGATTTATTTTCGTTTTTAATTAAAATATCGTTTACATTTAATTCTAGTTCAAACACGAAATCCATGTGCAATAAATCCATGTAAAAATTCGAATTAAAATTATTTTTAATCAATAGATTATTATTTATATTTAGGTCTCAATGGTGGTCAATGTTTAATGAATGGACAAGGATTTATTTGTAATTGTCCAGCTACATTTGCTGGTAATCGTTGTGAAGCTCCAGGTAAGAAATTTTTATCAAAAAATTTTCTGAATACTATTTAAAATTTCTTTATTAGCTGCTACACCATGTCAACCAAATCCATGTTTGAATGGTGGATTATGTTCGTCACAAGGTATATCATTTATATGTCAATGCCTTCCAACATTTACCGGTCGATGTTGTGAAAGTCGAGTAGTAACAACAACACCATTCAATCCTTGTGCACAATCACCATGTCAAAATGGAGCACAATGTATCCCAGCAGGAACATGTATTCGATTCTTTCTTGTATTTTTTT